ACATTAGCCACCCTCAACCCAACCCATTTCGAGCTACGACCCAGTAAGTATGAGCCCCGATTTACATTCAGAATCGTAATCTGCTGCAGACGTGGGGTGGGTACAACCTTGAGAAAAGTATCGCACTGAATTATAGTCTGGCTCCCGTTTTCAGTAGACTTATCTTGCCAGGGAGGCAACATATTCTAAGCCTTTCAGTTGACTTGCAGCTATGCGAAAGCTAAATCGAGAAGAAATGCCTGCAAACGGGAGGTACTGTGTTTCTGAGCGCCTGAGAACAGAAATATACATCTTGAAAGCAATTGAAGAGAGCTTTTGTTATTCGTTTGTTGGTCTTGAGATTGTGGACAGATTTTTGTTGGTTGGCGTAAGGCTTGAATGTGTAAACAGACTGCGGTAAAAAAAGAGAAGCTAGTGTGTTTAAGTTGGCACCAGTATCAACCTTGATCCGCCACAGGGTTGGTACTGTAGTGGACCGATGGGCATGACTTTTGCGCCGCCCGCCGCCGTCGCCCATGCCCGACCACTTCTCCCAGACCATCACGGACGCCGCCTGCGTCGGCGCCTTCGATCCCGCCTTCGCCTCCGACGCCGACACCGACGGTCCGGCCTCCGGCTCCTCCGTCTGGCGCAGCGACTTCTCCCGCGTCCTCAGCGTCGCTAGCTCCGGCCGCGCCAGCAGCACAGACCCCTTGCCACTAACTCTCGACCGGCCGCCCCTTCCGACACCCCCGTCGCCGCCGCTCCGCCGAAACCCGCCGACGACCCGCCGCTCCACCACATGCGCGACATGCAAAACCGCCCCAACTCGCTGCGCTTCGACGCGCACGTCACCGTGCTTCAAATAGCGCCGGAGGAGCCTACCGCGGACGCGCGCGACACGCCCACCGACGAGGCCGCCCCCGGCGTCGGGGCGCCCGAGGGTGCGGCCGCGGCGTGCAGAGCGGCACCGTTCGCAGGCGAGCGTGTGCTCAGCGACGAGCAGACGCTGCCCGCGTGCACGTTCTCGCGCGACCGGGCGCGGTCGTTCTACGGGCGCGCCATGAAGGACAAGAACGACGCCGAGGAGGCGCAGGGGCCCGGCACGCGCGGGCCCGTGTCCGAGGAGAAGATGCGCGCCGTGCTCGACGAGGACTTTGCATGCATTTGTGGGTTTTGAAATCGGACCCAAAAACGGAACCGTTGAATACCGACTCGAAATCAAGGTCCCCGAAATTCGGTCGTCCACGCAGGCGCATTTGCGTCCACGCCAGATCCCTACAGTGAACCCTCTCGATATGGATACGCTCAGTGGACGTAATCCGTATCCATTTGCGGAGGATATTCACATCCGGAGACCATATCATAACGGTGTCACGGTGACCTGCATCTCTCAGAATGTCTGTGCTTTACTTAAAAAATGTATCTATCGTCGTCTGGACTGTGCAATTCCCCTTCTTGGTACGCAAACTGCGCTGCTGACGATTGATCACAACTTGAATTTCTGGAGAAATGTCGTCGCAATCCTCCAACAAAGACTTAACAATTGCTAATGCTTTCAATTGCTCGTCAATTGTGAACGATTCGCAGGTCTCACTGTCGTTTCTTTCCGCTCGATCCCTATCTTGATCCTCGCCATCCCTCATTTCCATAATCGTACTTGACACCACGTCCTCAACTGATACCATTGCAGTTACCTCATCTTCCTCTGAGGGATTTAAGAAATTTTCAATAGAGATCCTCGCCCGAGAGCCCACCAACTGCCCAACCATTCCTTCGATCTCCTCTACTGTGCTCTTTCGACACTCTGTGTCAGTTGTCGTAGCTTCAGGCGGTATCTTCTCGTCCAAAAGCCCGTAGCCAACAATTAAAAATTGCATCCCTTGACATACTCTTCCAAATGCGCCGAACTTGAACCATGGCTTGCAGTTGATTGACATTGTAGATATTCTTTGCACCAGCGTCTAAATTATCTAAAGCGCGCTCCATTTGCCACTTTCTGTATAAAACTTTCACACTTGCTATCACTCCGGCATCCATTAGCTGTATTTTAGATGTAGTGTTTGCCGGCAAGAACTCGACAACCACATTGCTGAGGGACGGAATTGTACCATTGTGACAAGTGTGAATGCAACCGATTACACGTCGGACACAATGCATACATTTCCGCGAGCATCGATTGCCACGGACACGGATAACGAACGGGCACGGTACCGCAAAAGCAATGCAAAGCGGAAGAGGGACGAAGTCAGCGACTTTGAAGCATCGGGCAGGAGCTACACTCAGCGCCTTAAGCATTAAGCGACAGTTAGCTTTTAGTTCAGCAAGCAAGTACTGTCAGAAACGGTTAGAGATGTGAGCAACACTAGCGGGTAGCGAGCAACGCGGTGACACTACATAAGCAAGCAGACTGTAGGTAGCTAAGCGAAGGAGAGCATCGAAGGACACAGAGAGACGGGACGACTGCGTCGCCCGGAGCAAAGCGTGCTCACTCACGACTTCG